ATCCCACTCGCGTGCCACCGCGCATGCCCAGCTCTTGCCGTCCTTCTCGCGCGCGTCCGTGCACGCCTGTCCTATGCCCCCGCGGACTAGGACGTCCGCGCTTCCGCCCAACTCGTGCGCCTTTGCGCGCGCTCTGCTCCTGCCCTGCGCGTCCCATCCGTCGTCCGCGCCCAGATCGCCTACGGCGTCTCCGCGTGAACCCGTGCACCCGTCCATCTTGCGCCCGCGTTCTCCCCGCCAAACCCGCGTGCGTGGTCTGTTCGCCCACTCGTGCGCATCAAGTGCCGATGCGCACCTTTTGCCATTTCGCTCCTCACCAGACTCGCCGGACTCCACTGCCACTTCCGTATCACGCGCGCTGGCAGCAGAGCACAGGGCCCGGCAGACAAGCAGGGTTTCAAATAGGACCGACCGATTTCAAAATTCACTCGACCGATTTACTTGAAATTTTTACACATCAAAATAACCCCAGAAAGGCATATTTTCACAAGGTTTCAGACTCAACTCTTCAGTTTAACACAATCAACCAATTTTTACAAAAATACGATGAAAATCTGAACTTTCTAGTTCACCGGGCAATCCTTTGAATTTTTCAACGAAATTTGGACACAACACACATAACATCATATTACTAACACTCACCAAAATTCACAGCAAAATTCCAAGAATATGATGTTTAATGATTTTTCAAAGTTTCTGCCCAGAATTTCAAATCCACATTTGACATGGCTACAGATCTCATTTTGACTTGAAATTTTTACACAACATATATCACATCCAGAAGGTAATACAGTTCAATTTTTACAGCAATCGGACGAGTATACAATTTTAAATGATTTTTCGAATATTCAGTAGCACTACTCGATTCAAAAATGCGTAGTTGACAATTCACTCAACCATTTCGTCTAAGGCCTTCACCATGAGGCCAAAGACTTCAAATGTTTCAATAATCCACAGCCCTATTCACGATTTATGCACAATACACATGATTTCACAATTAACGATCATAACATGAAATTAATCGATTAATTCACAAGCCCTAACATGAAAATTCATTCCATCTCAGCACATACATCATATACACATATAAAAATAATGGGGTTTTCAGCCTTGTACCATTCTCGGGAAAATTTAAACGAAACAAGGGCCGAACAGAGTCGAGGAGGGATGCGATGCGCGCTCGGCAACCAGCGTGGCTCGCGCGATCGATTTGCAGGGCGGCTGGGCAACGACGGTGCTCAGCGGTAACGGACGATGGCTACTGCGTGCCTGCTGGAGGTCGTCTACACGATCGCGGGGTGCTGGGGCAGCGACAGAACGACGAACGGCGCTTGCCTGGTGGCGAGTGATCAACTGCTTCGCGCAAACGGAGACACGCTGACGAGCAGGCCGATGGTGGCGATGCACGGCTATGATGGCAGCATCTTGGGCAGCGTTGAACGACGATGGGGGTGATGCACGGCTGGACCGAGGCGGCGTCACGATGGCCACAGCCGATGAGCGACGATGGAGGCGATCAGAAAAGAGAGGAAGAGAGTGCGAGAGGGAGAGACGAGAGAAAGAGTGGCTGCGGGGGAGAGGATTATTTTGACGAAGGGATGGAGTTCTCCCATGAATTTATAGGGCTAGGGTTTGGGAGACTTCCCATACAAGCAACTTGCCAAAAGTGAACAAGAGAGAGAGAAGGGGGGAGAGTAATTAAGGGACCAAATCAATTCTCAATTAGTTGGTCAAAGCCTTAATTTAACTTTAATGGCTAATGATGAGTAAATAAAGATGGCAATTAATTCTTGAAATTCAAACATCACTAGCTTGCATAAGAAATACACCAACGGTTGGTTCGGGCGGTTCAATTGAAAATCCCGGTTATGCTCGACGTCTATGATCCGGTTAAATGGATAAATAATTCAGCTCGGATTGACGAAGATTAAATTAAATTAAATTAAAGTAATATTTACTAATTATATAAAATATTCACAATTAGTATTTATTATAAATACATATAAGGCACATAAATTTCACTTAGGCACTTAGACAATTAAATATAAAGCAACAAATAATGATATTAATGGCAACAATAATAATAGCAATAATAATAATAATAAAAATAATCCATTTATTCATGAACGAACAGGGCGTTACACTGGGACCGTTGATCGTAATCGTCCTCTCGCTCGAAGTCCGCATGTCATCGCGCCTCGTCGTCAGCCCGTTCGCGTGCACGCCGGTCCTCGCGCCTCGGTGACGGCAGCCGATCGTCGTGGCCTTGCCGCTGCAGTTGAAGGCCGCGGATGAGCTCGTCCTGCCGCTGTTCAAGTCGTGCCACGACCATGTTGGTGTTGCCCTGGCCCTCGTCGAGCGATCCGAGTGTAATGCCCTGTTCGTTTTTGAATAATTGGGATTATTATTATTATTATTATTATTATTATTATTTTTTTTTTTTTTTTGTTGTTATTGTTGTTTTTCTTTTTAATTGTTTAATTGCTATTAATTGCCTAATTATTATTAATTGTCTATTATTAATAAATATTATTGTTATTTATATTAAATGCCTAATTGTTTCAAATTCTTATTAATATTAAATAAATATTAATGTGTGTATTATATATATATGTATAATTGTTATCAAATTTAATTTATTTTATAGTAGTGCGACCGAACCGAGCTTTTATTTTTAATCGTCGACTACTTCCTCGAAGCTTAGTGTTGGCTCAACCTTTAATTATTTTTCTGCCCAAATTTGTATAAATCTCGGCCCAACTTTGTGAGATTTCAGGCCCTCTATATTATTCTTACCGACCCAATTCAACGTTAAGTAAACCCTACCCTAATTCTTTAAAGATTGAGAATAAACTCTCAGCAAACAAGAACTCCCGCAGCTATATGTATCCATTCTCTCAACCCTCAGCACACCAAATAATTTTTCCCTCAACTTTAGTAAT